TGATATATCTTATCTATTTATTATAAGATCTTCAGCAGATCCGTACGACTGTCACTGACCCAGATAAGTTTCTTTATTCAGTTTCTGAGAAGAATCAGTCTTCCATATCCAACACACAACTTGTTTCTTGAACTGAACACACGCAAAATCTTTCTACTTGTCAGAAATACAAAATCATATCAAATCGGTTCTTGATATTTTATAGAGGATTGATGCCTAATAAATCTCTTTTCATATCATCATATAACTCAGTTATATACAAAATGCATCTCACTATCTACATTTTTGTATTGCATTATAGCTCAAAGTGGTCCTAAAGAAACAAACGAACCCCACACACGATTCCATGAAGATGACCTAACAAGTAACTCCATACAAAAAGACAAATACGTGCAACTTTATATGTATAATGACTTATACTGAAACTATAACCCCTAAAAATAAGATATCACGAGATATCCGTGATATTCTTTGATGCAATCTCTTCCCCATGCTCTTTGTTTCTTTTCTTTTTAATTATGAGGAATTAAATAGTTGGTATAACAATAATAATGGAAGAAAACCATCATAAATACCTTCACCAGATTCACATGACTCCACAACACTTCTGAATCTGTCACTTTCTTTCTGCATGTATCCTTGTCTTGTTGATTTTTGAATTTGTTTTTTTTATTAGAGGTGGTGGAGAATTAAAAGCTATGTTCTGAAGGGTGTCTTTATTAATACCAGAGCCAGTCTTGCTTCTTAGCTAATTGTCAAGTTGTTTTCTTTCTTAGTTACTTGACATCTAAGTAACAAAGGAGATGAATAGTGGTTCTTGTTCTTCTTTAATGGAGGTGGGTTATGATCATCATCATCATGGTCATGAGGAGCTTCATGTTTTGGCCGTGGATGATAATCTTATTGACCGTAAACTTGTAGAGAAGTTGCTCAAGATCTCCTCTTGCAAAGGTTCCATTCTTTTCTCACCCTTCCTATTTTTCTGATTAATATCTATTTTGTATATTTTTTGGTATTAATTCTTTATGAAATGTGATATTATTGTAGTTACAACAGCAGAGAATGCGATTAGAGCATTGGAGTATTTGGGTTTAGGAGATCAAAATCAGCATATTGATGCACTAACCAATAATGTAAGCAAGATCTATGGGTCTTCCCCTTGACACATCTTGTTGGAGTGAAAATCATGAGAGTAATTCTAACAAATCTATGAAGAAAACTCAAAATGTATTTTTTTTCTCTCCAGAATTTGAAGGTGAATCTAATCATCACAGACTATTGCATGCCAGGGATGACAGGCTTCGAGTTACTCAAGAAAGTGAAGGTAAGAACAACTATAACAACTACTTCTTGGAATCAAGAATCACATGTTTTTTTATCATTTTTAATTAGTTCAATTTTAACAAAATCTCTCATGTGTTTATATAGCAGGAGTCATCAAATCTGAAAGAGGTCCCTGTCGTGATAATGTCTTCAGAGAACATTCCTACCCGCATCAACAAGTAAGAACATTTGATTTCTAATCAAGACCTTGTTTCTGTTTGCTCGTGTGGAAGTAAAACTAAACATATAAAATCATCTTATGTTCTGTTTTTTTTGGTCACTTAAATGCAGATGTTTAGCTAGTGGAGCTCAAATGTTTATGCAGAAGCCTCTGAAACTATCGGATGTTGAGAAACTTAAATGTCATCTCATGAAGTGCAGAAGCTGACCATGAGAGACTATAAGTAGCCCTAACCATATTATAACTATTCCATTATTTGGTTCTTTATTTGATTATGTTACATGTTTTTTGTGTCTTCTGAAAATCAAGTAATGTTTTCAAAATGTTTATAGCAATCAGCCATCTTAAGCCCACACAAACACACACAAAAAAAACAAGTGTAAGGGATATATATAGAAAATGATTATGGTTATGAAGATGGTGACTATGTCTTCTCTCTTCAAACCCTAAGCAGCGAATAAATGGATAACAAGAGAGGAAGAAGAGAAGAGAAAGAAAAAAAAAAATCATAATCATTTATTCTGTGGAGATGATTATGATTTGTTTTTGTTATGGTTAATTTGTTTTCTACTTTCTCGTCTCTTCTCCTTTTGTGGACATTGTTGCACATGATTGTAATAGTTTCTGACTCCGCATCAAATCCGCGACACTGCGTGACGTAAGAATCTGTGGAGTCTTGTACAGCAAGAAAGGTCTAGGTTTCTGTTTGAGACAAGACTATTGAAGTTCCGAACACGAGATTCTTGTTACATGGATGCTTCTTTTTTTTTGTCTCAATTCTTATTGAGTTTTAGACGGAACTTGATCAATGTCCGACCAACCAAGATTTTTTTTAGTTATCTTTTGCTGTGTATGTATCGCACGATTTCGAGGCTTGTAGTACGGTAGGTATAATCATGATATATCTCTATAATATTATTTGAGAAGTCACTTTCCTACGTGTCGCGCTCACGTTAACTCTCACGATGGTTGATTACGTAGATACCCTTAATGAATTATTTTATTTTAAGATTATTATTAATTTTTGATTTAGTTTCTTTTTTACTTTTATCCAAATAACATATATAATAAAGAGGAAATATTTCTAAAATTGTAAAACAAATTTAAAAACGAAAATATATGTATGTAATATGACTTTATTAAAAAGAAAAGTTCACAAAATAGTAATACCCTCATTAATATATATTTTTAAATAACATAAAATATATTTTCCAAAAAATAAAAATATATATGTTCATGAAGATTCAAAAATTTACCAATTACACTTTATTTTCTAATATTCTTTAGAAATCAATATATGATTTGATAAATATTATGAAAATACATGTATATTTAAGCGATAAATAAACTAATTTGATTTGATTTAACTAAAATAAAGAGTAAATAAATATTATGAAAACACATGTATATTTAAGCGATAAATAAAACTAATTTGATTTGACTTAACTAAAATAAAAAGTAATTATACTTCAATTTTAATTTAAAAATATATTTAACTCAATATACTCCAAAATGAATGACTCAAATAATCTAATTTATATCCAAAATTAAACATCTAACTACAATAAGAACATATAATGTTATAATAATAATAATAATAATAATCTATTTAATTTTATACATATAAATTAGAGGTTAACCCAAAGCATATTAAAAAGAAAAAAAATATTAACCAGTTACAATTTAATTCTTTTGTAGAGTTTATATATATGCATGAGACTTCAAAATATTATCATTATATTCATTTATGTAATTTTGAATCGAACACTTCAGTTTATTATTTATTTCATTTTAAGCACAATATATATTAAGTTATACATAATTTAACTATAATATATTTACATATCTAAGACAATAACCAACTGAAATGAAAATAAGAAAATTAATCAAAGTTTTATTATATTTAGAATAAAAAATATTATAGCTGAACTCGAAAAACATATATTATCCAATATACCAAATTGATAACCAAACCTACTATTGATCCAAAAGATAATTAAATCGATAATAATATATCCAAAGTCATAAAATTTATTCAAAATTAAAATTAAATATCAATCAATTATTATAAAATTTTACTTTTATGAATATTTATATGCACGGGAAAATCACCTAGTACTTTAGAATATAACAAAACCATGCCATTATTATACTATATATGTAGTTAGTTATGTACACGATACAGGTTAGCTAATATTGCTAGTCAATTTTCAATAATTCTATCAAAGAAAAGATAGATGCGAATTAGCGGAGCTTATTGAGCTGATACGTATCCAAGATTTGGATAATGAATTGAGGAATTAAATGTTCACCAAACTCTGACCTAACTTATCTAACCAATTTGAAATCTGAATATCAACCTAGTAGAGTTTAGGAGTGTCAAATCAAAGCGATTCGCTATAAACCGAAGAGCATGTGATCTAAACTAATACTAGATTTTTGACCCGCCCTTAAAAAGTGCGCATACTATTTTTGTTGTTTTATCTACAGATAGATCGATAAGTCTTCTGTTTTGATGATATAAAATGTCACAGAATCAAGATCAAATTATTATGCGGGTATGAATTTTTTTTTGTTTTATAATGTCTTAGACAATTTTTTTATGTTTATAAATAAGTTAACAATAGTTGTACCTAAAATGTGTACTTGAGAAAGATTGTATATTTGACAATTAAATGGTCCAATTTTTTTTTTTGGTTTTGTGATTAATTCATAAAATTACGCTCAGTCCGATCCGCCCTGTCCGACCCGCAACAGGTTGAATCATTTTTTCTACTCAAAAATTTTTCATGTCTGACCTGCAAAGAAAATATATTTTTGCAAGTTTTTTTTATAAAATTTGGAAGAGAATCAGCCGACTAATGAAACCATTAGTATATAATTTTTAGGACCAAAAAACAAAAGATCATATTACCATTAATGAAAATAAAAATTTGTTCATATCATTTATGGTATAATTGGAAAACATAAAAAAATCATTAAACAAAAGGTTTCTGTTTTAATGGTATTGATTTTATTTTTGAAATATATTTGATAATTAGAAGTTGAAACTTCAAAAGTTTAAGTGGTTTGAGTACAAGTTTATTAGTATTACTGCTTGTACATTAAAATTATGAATTTGGATCTCAATGCAATTTACTACTATCACTTATACAAAATAACATAGAATATGAAACAATTTACTAGAAAAATTAATTTTATGCAAATCAAACTAGAATATCATGGTTAGTGCTATCTCGTAGCATCTATTGAAATATCTTCGAATGGTAAAAGTAGATTAATCTACTTTTAATCGTTGTTGAACTCTTGAAGTAGGAACCTGAAAAAGATCAACATCAGGTGAAAAATTCTGACGCAGATTCTCACGGATGAACTCATTTGAAGGACGCATTTCATCATCAATATCAACATGATAGACTTCTTCATTTTTCGTGTCTCGGGAACTTGAGTGTGTTGCATATCACCACCATATGTTTTAGAATAAAAGTGACATTCATCATTGTTTTAACCATCGTTCATCAACTCTTCTCTTCTTTGGTGCAAAAAGTATTGAGATTGTGATTGGACGTCATATAAAATGAAACATCGTTGCATCACATCCCAAATCTCTAGCGGCTTTCGTTTAATGATTTTAGAATCGTGTCTACCTGTTAATAAGATTATATAGGTTTTAGATTACAAATATTATAGATTTGGTAATTTATTAAACTTACGCTGGTTTTAAGAGATGTTGTTGTACTTCACGATATTTCCACCAAGAATCAGACGCAGATATCACAGTCATAGGATCAACCGAAATGCCCGTCAAATTTGTCATAAGATGCTTGTACTTCTTGTATTTTCTTTTTAGTTGATCAAGTTTTTCTTTGAAGAACCGGTAGTTTACGTTACTATTAAACATTTGGTTGAACTTATTAACGAGAAACTCTTTACCAGCGGATGTAGGATCTTTGAAACGGTAATCACCCATGACAATTGCTCGATCGTACAACTCAATAAATACTCATTCTCGGTTAGGATTCCATCTAAAATTGTCTTCCCTCTAAATATTTTTTAAAAAATTCAATCATTTTATTTTACTATTACTTCAACAATTTTTTAAAAAAATATTAAATACTTATCCGTACCGACGTTTCTGTAGGTAAATTCACATCTTCTTCATCGGAGAATGTTGTATGTTGTCAGCGATTTGACGCCATATCTACAATTTTAAAGTAATGCAATCTTTATTATTTGGTTGATTAAAAAAATCAAAGTAATTTCTAGATCATTATTGAATAATTTTTCTAATACTAATAGTATATCTTTCTAACAAATATATATATATATATATATATATATATATAAAAATGCACCAGAAAAATACAAACATATAATGACGAAGAATGGATCTTTTTATCATTTCATTGACACATTAATTTAATTTAGAGTTTTTTCCCCATTTATCTGTACATGTATTTTCTCTTTTTAGGTATTTAATTTTTTTCAGCAAGCTTAATATTATTAAGCTCATAAGGCCCATATCAGCACGTTTATTTGTCTTCACACTAAAATATGATTATTACAATAATATTTTAATAATTCTTATAGCCTAACTTTTTTTTAAAAAAATACGGTCATATATGTATTTATATATATATGTACGTTTTCTTTTTATTGTGCTTTGCATATGAATTAAAATATAATATATCTTCCTCTAATTAGCATATATATATAATCTATTGTAATGTTAATTTACATGTATAAGTATCACCGTACGCATGGATTTCTAAGATATATTTTAATATTGTCATAGTTTTTTTGACTAAAATTAATATTGTCATAGTTTTAATTTTCGATAACAATAAATATTTTTACAAAACTTTTCTCAAAAGTGTCACATAATATTAAAGGTTGATACAAGTTTGTAGTATTTTTCGAAATAAATAAAATTATGAAAAAAATAATACCTTATTTTAATTAATGTAAATAAAGAAGCAATAAATCTAAAACATTTATTATTTTTTTATTTTTTTTAGTTTAAACTAATGATTTCACTGATATTTTATGTTAATTAACCTATTTTTTTTCAAAGAACGCATTTAAACAAAATTAACCATGATATGTTATGGGCAAATCATTAAATAGTTTTACCTTTGTTTAACAACAAATATGGTTGATGGAAATCTTATGATGAACATTAGAGACAACATTGCAGATATGTTATGGGCAAATCATTAAATAGTTTTACCTTTGTTTATGTAGTTTTTATTATGTATTTAGATATTTTGATGTAATTTTTATTGTTGAAATACATGATCTGTTTTTTTTTTGAACTGCTTTTACTATTCATAAATTCTAAAATAACTTGTTAACTTGATCTGCATCTCTCCTGCATAATCTGCTTGATATGTATGTTTCGCTTGATCCGTCCCGTTTGAACTGCTTTTACCATTCGGAACCTAAGAGTATGAATGGAGTGACAGATAAAAAGCAGATCGCCTGC